ATGAGCGAAAAACTTCCTACGGTGATGATTCCTAACCATTTTCTTTTGGTGGAGTCGCTGCCACTTACTGCAAGTGGAAAAGTTAATTATGAAGCACTAGCAAGGTTGAAATGTCCTAAAACCCTTGCTCAAGATATGATGCATAGCAATGGAACTAATAGTCTACTGCAAACTATTAAAAAGGTCAGACTATTTCCATGCTGTGCTTACATACGCGTTTTATTTTCTCCTTATGAGTTATGGAGTAAGCATTTTTGGTATCTGGTTGCTTCTTTGTCTCTAAACCATATTAGGAAGTGAAATCTTTGATAATTTTCCTTGGGTAACTTTTGGACGGTTGCTATTATGGGCTGGACATATAGTTCGAACGGGAAATTAGAGTTGTGCAAAGGAATCTGATAATAAAGGTGACGGTTTAGGGGTGTTTAAGGGTATTTTTCTGGCAAGGAAAATAAAAGCAAATGAAATACTTGTTGGGATACTAATATAAAATTTTTCGGAAACAGATAAACTTAGAATCTCAGTATTTAGCTGAGTGATTATGCTTATGAAAAAATGTAGAGAACATTCTTTGTTTATTTTTAACCTGCAGAATCTAATTGACTATAGAAGAGGAGTTATATCATTTCCTTTTTGATATAGGCCGTCTGTGATGCATTAGTGGTCAAAGAAGTTTTAGACGATGATGATTTCTTTGCGATTGGTGGAGACTCTTTAGCCGCAGCACATCTTTCTCATAGTCTTGGTATTGATATGAGATTGATTTACCAATTTCGAAGTCCATCTAGGCTTTTGATCTGTCTGTCAGAGAAGGAAGGTAAGTTAAGAGAAGATACGCAACACAACACCACTCAGAAACTAGACCACAAGACAGAGAGTCAGAATGGTAATGGGTTGGTTAGTAGAACTGTTCCACGTCATTCTGGTGTTACATCAAGCCCAACGCCTTCAGGAATGCAGTGTGAGAAGAATAATTCCCCAAAGCGATTGAAAATTGATTCCAAAATTTTTTCTCCCAAAATGAAAGAAAAGAAATCATGGGATTCAGGATTTTCTCAAACACAATGTGCATTCAGTCGGTGCAATAAGGTATATTCTCCGAACTCATGTAGTAATGAAGAGGCAAACCGAGAAAACTGGTCGGTGGAGATTCCAAGGAACCAAATGGTCTCTATGCAAGAGATATGGAAAGTTCATATGGAGTCTTGTGTAGATGCCTCGCCCCTAGTTGTGTTGAAGGATTCGAAAACTTATCTATTCATTGGGTCTCACTCACGTAAATTTTCGTGCATTGACGCCAAAAGGTATGCATCCTTGTTATTCTGCTGTATCAGATGTTGAAAGGTGTAATTTATTGTAATCAAAGAGGTGCCATCATCGTTCTGACTAAATTAGAATCAGATCTAGCATATGAAGTTTTAAGTTTTTATTGAACTACTTGATTTTATTGGATTTGGATCGAAAATGAGAGGATTAGGTTTATTCTTTTTATGAAATAGGCTGGACTTCTAACAAATGATACACTTACTGTGCTAATTAGTGGCTCTATATATTGGGAGACCACTCTAGAGGGAAGGGTCGAAGGTTCAGCCATGGTTGTTGGTGATTTTAGTCAGGTTAGTCTTCTCATCAGTTTGTATAGATCACTGTATCCTTTCGAATCTACTTGAACAGTTTTAGGGACATCTCCAATGCTAGGTCGTTGTTGGATGCTACAAAGGAAAATTATATTTTTTAGATTTCTCAACTGGAAGCTTATGTTGGACATTCCAAGCATGTGGCGAGGTATTATCTGAAGGAAAATTGATCGATAATAGCTTTGTACTCTGTTTGTCTACCTTATTGCCGCTTTAATTTCTGTGTCATATATGCTCATTCCTAGTAATTGTTCTCAGATGGCTAGCTGACTTAAGACAATTTGTTTTCTTTTTGGGATGAAGATAAAGTGCCAACCTGTTGTGGATGCATCTTCGCAACTGATATGGTAATACAGTGATGAATTTTTCTGTTAATGTATCCACTGAAGTCATTGTACTGAGTTTAGGAGGAGTGGTTCTGTGATCATAATGTTTGTGCCACATGTTAAATCCCTTTCCAATCTTGCTTTCGTCTGAGTGGACCTTACATTTATACTTTCATACCAATGGTTGATTATATGGTTTTTGTTTTTCATAGATATACGTGGAAAAATTGTTATGACAACCAATTTGAACTGGGTCTGTGAAGGGTTTTCACCTTAGTTAAAATACATAGCAACTGACAAAGAAGTTTGAAGAGAAATATACGAGCAGTGACTTAAGTAAAAGAAGCATACTCTTTTAGCTCCCTGTGTGTTTACTTAAGTTCCTTTTGATTCTGTAGAAATTTTTTTGCCTAAAGTTCTTGTAAAGTCACCAATCATTAAGCTTAATTTTGCATCACTCATGCAGGTGCGGATCACATGACCACACTCTTTATGCCCTTGACTATAGGAGTCAACGTTGTGTTTATAAGCTGCAATGTGGTGGGAGCATATTTGCTTCACCTTTAATTGATGAGGTGCAGACTTTAACTACTCTATCCAACATGTTAGGCATAGTTGCTTGTCCACAACTAAAACAATGTCATCTGTGGTCAAAGATTTTTTTGATTAGTGGAGTTCTCTTGATATCACCTGATTCTTCTTTGATGCTTCACCCAGGGTCATAGTTTACTATATGTGGCTTCTACAAGTGGTCGCGTGATAGCTGTATCAATAGAGGTATGGGCCTTTTGATATATACTCTTAACACCCTATGCGTTGTCGCTTGTACATACTTTGTATTCTGTTTTTTGCCTCATTTTTTGCATTCCAGTTGGCTGTATGAATAGTCCAGGTCAGATATAGAAAGTAATCTTTTCTGCTCAACAAAAATTAAGCAGAATAGTCCTTGGAAGTAATGGTTCACTACCAAATATTTGGGCCAAAATTGGGTCCTGTATCAGTATGGTCTCCCTTACCCTATAGAGATCTTTAGCTTAACTGATCAGCATTACATTTTACTTGGCTCCAGAGGGAGATTTGTTGTTACAGATAAATAATAATGGAGATGGAGCCTTGTTTATTTTGGGTTTAATTTTGCAAATGCAGGATTTGCCATTCCACACCTTGTGGCTACTTGATCTAGAAGCACCGATTTTTGGTTCCCTATGCATTACCCCGACAAGCCGAAGCGGTATTTTCTTCTTCTTTTACTGTTGTCTTTCTGTTTCCTTGATTTCACTATTATTGTTAATCTCTATTTTATGTCACAGTCATTTGCTGCCTAGTTGATGGCCAAGTTATCGCAATGAGTACGTCTGGAACTATTATTTGGAGGGTATGTGCATGAGTTGATCCCAGTTCATTTGAATGATATCATAAAAGTTCATATGGCGTTCCCTGATTTTTATGCTATCTAGGAGTTACTGAATAATGATAGGCAATTATCTAGTCAAAAGGGCTTTCACCATCTTTTGTTCCTGTCACTTTGTTTTTTCCATCTCAGAGTGCTCAAATTAGTCAGTTATTACATTGATGCAGTATAGGACTGGTGGACCAATATTTGCTGGGCCTTGCATGTCACATGTGCTTCCTTCTCAGGTGCCCTTGACTCCTGAATATATCTGCAGTATATCCTTTTTGTGTAGGGATATCTCACTAAGGCTGACTACACTGCAGTATATCCTTTTTGTGTAGGGATATCTCACTAAGGCTGACTACACGTCTTTATTTCTGCAGGTGCTTGTGTGCTGTAGAAATGGAAGTGTTTATTCACTAGAACCGGTACTTTCTTCTTGTATAGTTTATTTATTTCTGTCTACTGTTATTTATTTTGTGCGAGAGGCTTTTGTTTTTCAAGCACTTAAACCTGATGTGCGATAGACTTAATTCTAAGTAGACTTATTTCCAAGCAAGTACAACTTTGTCATGTCTGTGCATATTCTAAATTCATAGAGCTTCTTATGCATCTTCTAGGGAGTCCTTCTGAAAGACATCAGTTTAATAAGATTTCCGAGTTCATTGGCATATTGATTTCCGAGTTTATATTAGAAGGAATATACTCTCTTGAAATTAACAGCTTGTGGATGCACTAAAGAGATACTTGAATCTGTAGCAAAATCCGTGGAATCAAATCGGCTCCAAGGAAGTCAGTTTTAGTTTTGCGTGAAATGAGTTTTAGGTCCGCAAGGACATTGATAGGGACGTTCATGAGGATCAGTTGTTGTGGCACTAGTATCATAAGTCGTGACTGTTTTGTGGAATTCACTTCAGGAATCTGGGTGTCTTGTGTGGGAATACAATATTGGGGACCCGATCACAGCTTCTGCATACATCGATGAGAATCTGCATTTTGAATCGCATCAACTGCTTGCATCAGACAGGTATTAATTACAAGAATACAGTAATACACACAAATGAATGTATATAATTATCATTGATGTATGATGATACCTCGTCATTGCGTTTCCATGTATTTTCCAGGTTGGTGACTGTATGCTCGAGCTCAGGAAGAGTTCATGTCCTTCGTGTGAGAACCAACCACAGCAGAGATTCACTTGACTTAAAAGTAGGAGAAATCGCGAGGCTAGAGTTGCAGGCAGACATTTTCTCTTCACCAGTGATGATCGGTGGCCGGATATTTGTTGGCTGTCGTGACGACTATGTGCATTGCCTCTCTCTTGAGAGTTGCAGGTAAGAAAAGTTATAACTCCTGAAAGGAATTTTTTGAATCGCTGTATATATCAAAATCATGAAACTTTTTGCGTTTGATTGCGAAAACAGTTCTATGTAAAGAAATGAGTTTTTTTTGTTTAATATTGTTAATCTCGTGGAGGTACTTTAAAATAAAAGATGTGTGTACATTACACCTTGCCTTCCTTCTCTAACATATCCTACAAAGTTACAATCAGCATCAAAATATCATTCTTCTTTCTCTCTGTCCAGATGAAACGCTTCGATTTGGATCCCATCCTCTGTGCGGTTCTCATCATTCTACAATGAGATAATCACATCAGCAGGTACTTTTTCCAAACACAAAACCGATCATTTGCTTCCATGAAGTCACCAAACAAAAAAGGATTGTAGGAATACTACCTCATATGTCTCCTAACCCTCATCAATATTGGCATCTTCGATAAAGAGCTTAGCAGTATCTGTGCATTTCAACAGCAGTAGCACGGGCTTCGTGGTTTAGATTTCTTCCCCTTTGGAAACCGCACTTGCTTTTCGCTGCCAGAGAGAATCATCAGAATCAAATACTGACAAATGACAATTAATATCTCTACACACCAAATCGATGTGGTTATCCTTCCAATAGCTCAAAACCTTTTTAATTTGGAAAAGACTTCCTCTCTAGGCTTGGCTCCTCCAAACGTGTCTCTGTGTCTCTAGTAGATATAAAAGGTGGAGTTAAATGCAAAACATGATCTATCCTTTTCTCAATCCAAGCCAATCTTCTCTCAAAGATCAACACATCTCTATGCATATTCCTCGCATCAATCTCAGCGACCTTAGCGCAAACCCGTAAAAGAATGTAGTAATCTGCGTGATCCGCATATAACAATGCTCCACCATTTTTTTTCCTCACACTGAAGATAGTCTTGTCTCTTTACCTTCACACGAGGCGGTATGTAACAGAACAAATTATACCCCATGTCTGTTATTAGTCTTTTTATCGCACACTCCTTGGATTTCTCCTTGTGATCATCTGGTGATGAAACACATTCCAAAGATGGCTCATCACAATCCATTGACTCGGTTTCGCTTTTTCTTGAATGACTAACACAAGGATTGTTTCCATTCCTCAACTTGTCATCGTTCAAGGACAGTTTAATAAGTGATAAATCATCTTCCCAGTCTCTTCCCCCTCTTGGATGAAGTCCCAAACCGTTCAAATTCCTACAAAATGCGAGTAAAAGAGATAGTTTATAAGGACTAATTTTCAAATATCCCACAGTAGAATTTGAAACATAGAAATATAAACACGTTTTACCTCCTCTTTCGGGTAACTATTCCACAGATTATCAACAGTTCTGTATGTGTCATCAGCTGATGCTTCTTCTAAACCAGCAAAGATGTCGTCCTTCCCGTGTAATAAATATGACAACAGACCCTTTTCTTATTCAACTGTTTCAGCAGTAACCTCATAATATTCCATTTCAAGGCTCTTTCAAATTCAGTTGCTTGCGTGGAATCCCATAACTCTGCATCCGCCTCACCAGCATCAACCAAACCCAAACTCCGTTCCCATACACCAAAACAGACATGACACATACACGAGTGGGAAGCCTAAGCTCGTTCTTCGATAATATAAACCCGAAGGAATTGACCAGTTCTGTATTAGACACAACAGTTCAAGAACCTTATCGTTGGGATTATATAACAGCTTTAGATAGTTTGAACTATAGAAATTCACAGGAGGTAAAGGCAAACCGATAATGTCAGCAATCGAAGTGGCTTGAGCTTCTAATCTCTGAGCAGAAACAATCTGAATAGGTCTAAACATTACACTTGCAGTACAGGACAGGAAGCTGATCGCTCTCCCATTTGCTTTCGAATCTTGAGAAAACAAGAAAGATACGGAATCTTTCCTTTTCACTATATCCGTGGGTAGAACGGGTGATCCCGCTTTGTTACAAGCAAGGAAAGATATCGCTAGAGAAGCCGATAAAGGCAGAAACTTGGATCTTAAGCTGACTTATCCATATCGTTACCGCTCTTTTACCATATAAGTTACGAGGTTCTTTGGCTCCTTTATGCAGAGTTAGGAACAAACCAAAAATATACAAAAAAAATGTAGAAACTTAAGAAGCAAGCAACCATTTGATTGAAGCTCAGAGTCTTGAATGAATGGCTTTATCAGCCCAACCATCATCAAAGACACCAGAGAGAGACACGAACCGTAAGCAGATAGGTCCGACCAAACCAATATATCAAAGGCGTGACATTGAATTTCTCAACCAATGCATCGCATTGATAAGTTCCTTTGACGTATCTATCTCTCTTGTCTGCTTATAATAATCCTCGTAACTCTGATTGATTGAAACATCCAAACCGACTTCGACCACCCCGAACTAAGACCAATCCCAATCCCAATCCCAGACTCAATCAACCAATTTACTCGGATTTAATTTATCTGGTTCAATTGGTTTCCTTAACCATTATAATAGTTTTTACTTGGGATTGGGCTTTTATTAACCAACCCTTTCAAGAGACGGCACCGTTTCAACAAGGATCCAAATGGCCTAGTAAAAGCCCATCAAAGAGGCCCAGGTTCAGGACCAATTTGTAAAATCGTTGGTATTCAGACTATTTTTGCGCAGTTCCTCAATCGAACTGATCTGTGTCATGTAAGAACTTTATTCTTCTTCCTCCTATTTGGCTCAGTAATTTCGAGACTGATTTGCTTTTGATTTTCTTGCCAGCTTCAAAGAGTCAAGTCAACATGTCAGGGTAATTAAGCTTCTCTTGCTATTCATCTATTTTGGATTCTCACTACATTTTTTAATACACTGAATCTGTCATCAACAGTCTTTAAACTTTCTAGTTGGTTATTATTGGTTACATGAAATTGGAGATTGTTTAGTATTATGCTTGGCAAATTTTAATGCTTATTTATTGTTGATGATGTAAGTATAATTCAAGAATTGGTATTGTTGTTGATCAGTACAGTCTTGAGAATTCAGAGGATCCCTTTTACGGAAGTTCGGATGAAGAACATAGTAGTGAAGCTCGCGTGTTGGACAATGAGAATAAGTTGAGACTTGTTAAATTCCACACGGTATTCATCTTTGTTACTTAATGATTCTCTTTTCTGTGTAAAATGCCTTTTCAGTTTTGATCATCTTTTCTCTATATGTCTGGTTAATATCGAATTCACAGGCTGGATACCGTGATGGGATTGTCGCCGGGAAAGAAGCTATTGCGCAACAAGGTTATAACTTTGGCTATAAGGAATCAGTTCTTGATGCCTACAAATTTGGTATTGTTAGAGGTGTTTCCAGGTAGGTATAATTACGAAATGAGTTACTGCTTTATCCCATGAAGCTAGCTTATCGAGTAGTAGTAGTTTATACGGAATTTGTTTTTTTTTTTAAGTGCACTGGCTTTCCTCCCAGATGAGCTAAGAGAGAAGCTGATCGATGAACAAGAAACTCGAGATAATTTTCAGAAATTACACAGTTGTGTGCATGCCTTATCACCGGAAGTAGCAATGAAGCGGTTCTATGAAACGCTGACTACAAAGCAAAGGGAAGGAAAGAGTGGAGATCAAGGGTCTGACAATGGTTCTGGTTTGGGTGTTAATGCTGCCACAACCGACTTGGGAAGCTATCTTACTGACCTAAGCTCTCTTCTTGACAAATCTCCTAAGATTGACATTAAATTGGACACATAGAGGAGGCTTGTTCTCTAAATTATTGCCAAGATTAGTAGTGTCTTTTTTCCTATACATAAGATGATGATTATGAAATTTTTGATTGTCGATGATTTTTAGTGTTTCATTTGGCTTTTTGTTTCTGTTTTCCGATGAAGCTGTTTTATGTTTGTTTAAATGTAGAAAATGTAGCAGAGTTTTTGATTAGAAATGACGATGGTTCTTAGTTTTTTGGACTCTTAATGGAAGTTCTGAATTCGAGTTTAGGATTTAGGGTTTAAGTACGAATTGAATTTGCAGGAGCTTGAATTTAAAAGTCTCTGCCTTTAGGTGGGATTGAGTCTTTCAGATGCCCAGGTGAGGTTTGCTACAATAAAGGATTTGGCATTTTCCCAAAAATTTTAATGCAATTCTTTAGGGTCTCATTGTTAATGTTCTTCCTATACTACAGGGACCTTCAAAGTCAAATCTCCGAGAACAGGAGACACAGAGCCGTCTAGTGTTAACCTGAATGATTCCAATTCCAAATTCCATAACGTGAAGCTAAACCATGTCCAGTGTCATGTCTTTTATCTTTTTTTCTTGCTCCTGTACTGTGTAGAACAAGTCGAATAATCTGTTCCTTTCATGTTTAAGAGGTGCTAGACTGTACCACGTTCGGTTTTTTTCCTCAGATGATTATTCTGATGTCTTATGTACACCCTTTCTTGGTGTATTTGATGGCTTTCAATGTGTTTGCTTCCATTTTAGCTATCGAGATGAAATATTCCGTATGCTTATGATATAATCTTCTTAATCTGCAGAGTCTTCAATTAAAACTTGTGATAGGATGCATCCCACTGTATGCGGTATTCAGGATAGCGCAAAGGATATGTCAAGAGCTTCCCCGCCTCGTTCAGAACTCATTGGGGGCTGGCTTGCCTTTTGCTTATGTATCAAACTCTCGACCTACTCCTCTCAAGTTAGACGTCTCCGTTCATTCTTTTCAAGATATCAGATGGGGTCTTGCAAGGTTTCTTTACCTGCTCAATATTCAGCTTGAGAAGAACATTGGCATGTACGTCCTAAACCCAATATTCCTTACCAAGATGCTAAATCTATTTATTCTATTTCTGTGAGATAGTTGTATGTACAAATGTTACTAGAAGCATTGTTCGTACTGTTTAAATTCTATTTTTCTTTGTGACTATAACATCTGTTCTGATCACTTGTAATGGCGGTTTTAGGTTCCTTGTGGCGCTTTTGATAGCATGTGTATCTTTTGTTATCATTGGGGGACTCCTATTTTTCAAATTCAGGTAACACAGCTCTATTTAACTTAGCTTATTGATTTAAAGCCTTCTCAAAATCGTATTAGTATGGTTATATGATCAGTTTTTCTGAAACTCTAGAAATGGATGATAAAACACAATTCTGGATAACAAGGTCATTGAAACAAAAGCAGGAGAGAGATATAGAGACCACTTATGTAATGGCTTTATTCCCAACCTGTAGATGAGAGAGACCATTCATTTGCGTAGAAACATCTTTCTCCCATTCTTAAGACCCAATGATAAAGTCCCAATCAAATCATGAATAAAGAACACAAGAACCAAAATTCTTCAGGAAAAGTTCTCTGCCTTTTTTTTTTGGCTTTTTCATTTATATAGGAAACAAACTTGGAACTACACGTTCCTACACACAAGGAAGCAAATCCCTTGGCCCTACCAATTTCATTATATTATCAGTGGAGAGTAGCTTGAAGCCTGGAGAACTTGTAGATGGATGAATCTCCATTGGTGAAAGCTCTCTTCTTTCTTTGCTTTCCCAATCTATCGTTATCTCGGATATGTTGCAGCTCCTAACTGCAAGTTGTTGAAGACTTCCCAGAGCTGTCGTGCTTAATATTACACGAGGTGTTGACATATTTATTAGACATAAACTTCGAATACTACTCGCCAATCGGTCCATTCCTTGTATCCTTTCCAAAATCATGGCATCCTCTATAGTTACCGCTAAAATCTTCATATGCTCCAAGTGCTCTAGTTCCTCCATTAATCTGTCATCAACACAAACATGGGAATAAAATAATTTCAACACTTGCAGATTTGGTAAGGTTGCTGCGATCCCAACAAGACTCTCAAGTTTATAACTGAACTCCAGATTCAAGTAGATTAGTTTCCTCAACTTACCAACCGGTAGCGATTTTATCCTTGTGCTTGATAAATTGAGATATTGCAGGGAACATAAGTTAGAAATTTCTTCCGGCAATTCAATAAGACTCATGTTTGTAGAAAGATCCAAGACCACAAGTTTTGGCATAACCCGAAAGAATCCAACTGAAATATTCACCAACTTGTTATACGGGAGTAATAGGGTTGAAACTTGAAAGGTTGGGGCAGTTGGGACTGCAAGATATCTTCTCAATCTGAGTACTAATTAAAGACATCTGCCTCACGTTCTCCCAATTGATGTCATTCGGTATCAGCCGTACATGAGTACCAGATTTCACACAAATTGTTTCTTGCTGTTTTCCGAAGTCAGAATTTATCCAAAGAGCCATCTCACGTATCACATCATGCATTTTAACTTTGTCTGTGAGTTCACATTCAATCAACAAATGTGCACGAACTAACAAGCCAATTATATCATAACCTTGGTTGGTACCTCCATCTTCATATCTGTTCGTATTTATATATCCTTCGCAAATCCAGTATTCTATCAACTTCTCCTTCTCTATTTCAAAATCCTCAGGAAACAAAGAACAATATAGGAAGCACGATTGATTTTCACCATTCTTCAAGCTATCATAACTGAACTTCAAAACGCGAAGAATTCTTTCTTCCATGTTGGAGATACAATCCAAGTCCCACATCGGAAGTTTGATGGGACAATCAATAATATATAAAGGGTTAGGGCCAATCCACTAATTGCCAATTGGTTTTTAGTTGGAAGCCCATAATTAGCCCAAATTTAACATGGTATCAGAGCCCAAAGTTCAAATTCTGGTGGACCTAGAAAAGTGGATACGGACATACCTCAAACCCGAGTAATGGGGGCCCGAGAAAGGGGCTTATTATCGGTCCGAGTGAGGGATCGAGGAGGTGTGTTAAGATCCATGTGGTCCTTGGATTGAAGGGGAGATTGTTGGAGATACAATCCAAGTCCCACATCGGAAGTTTGATGGGACAATCAATAATATATAAAAGGTTAGGGCCAATCCACTAATTGCCAATTGGTTTTTAGTTGGAAGCCCATAATTAGCCCAAATTTAACATTCCATACCTGGAAATTTGTGGCCAGGTGAATTCAGAACATTAATCGCATGACGCCATTCTTGTATAGTATCTTTACATGCCATGGTTTCCCCAATGACATTGAGTGCAAGTGGCAAGCCATGACATTTTGCAGCAACTATTCTTGCAAGTGCGGGAATATCCTGATGGCTGCTTAATATGATATCTCCAATAGTAATTCGAAACAATTCCCACGCTTCAACTGGTGACAAACAATCAACTTTTATCTGCTCGTCAGCTTTCATGTACTTGCAAACTTCCTTTGAACGTCTGGTGAAAACTATCTTCGATCCATTTTCTCGAGTTGGAGGTGGAACTCCTATCTTGTACAGATCTACCTTGCTCCATATATCATCCAACAACAGCACAAATTTCTTTCTCTTAAGGTTATTGTTTATGAGAGAGGCTTTCTTATTTTCAGTTTCTCTTTCCCATTCCTTGTCAAGACGTATTCTTCCAAGAATCTGATCTTGAATGCCCTCGAACTGAAACTCTTTTGATACCACAACCCATATCACAACATCAAATTCACTCTCCAGTTCAACAAATTTGTTGTTGATACAAGCTAAGAGGGTGGTTTTTCCTACACCCCCCATACCATAAAGACCCAAGGTTCTTATTTCATCGTTCATGAGGCTTTCCCATACATTTCCAACCATTGTATCCAAACCAATTGTGGTTTGGATATGCTTCTTCTCCGCCTTAGGTATACTTCTTTTTTGGATAGAAGTTCTTTAACTTCTTCCAAATTCTCCATTACCTTTTGACCATAATTGTAGCTTGATACGCAATCATTGGAGCAATATCCAAACAAACACAATCTTCCAGTTTCAGTTGATCTAGCCGCAAGCATATCATTGAATTGGGATTCAACACTTTTTACCCTTGAAAGCCATCCGTTGACTTGAGCAAGCCGTTGCAAACCTTTATCTTCTTCTATGGCGACTCTTCCTAACAGATCATCTCGTCTATTCTTAAGTTCGTCCATAGTTGTCTCCAGAGCATCGAGATTTGACTCCATCAAGTGAATGTAGTTTCTATCGCTTAAAAAGCAGCCACATGCAGCAGTGAAGATTTTATTCCAGGGTATTAGTAGAAGCCAGTCCGCCATTTTGCTCAAACTTCAAGAAAGAAACCCCCGGGATTACTGCCAAGGCGATGCAGGAAACAAGGGGGGGATAAAGAGGAATACAATCGTGCATTCTTAGACTGACTGTATCATGAAATTAAAAGTCAAGACAACAATTTCTATTAGTTTATTGATAGTGGCAGCTTCCAGATCACTCACTGCAACCGTCACAAATAATTGTTTAAAGAAGATTACCCAGTTTATTAAAAGTGTGGTAGCTTCAAGAAAAGTCAGAAGTTTGATATCCACAAAATGAAATCTAGTTAGCCATAAAATAGGTAGAGCACAAATCTCTCTTTCGACTACTGTAATCACACGTAAATAAGTATGAATAAAAGAGACGGTGATACATAAAAAAAAAAAAAAAAAAAAAAGAAGCAAATTCAGGAAATATATATATAGGCGTCGGGGACATCTTCGTTCACTTGGTTTTTGGTCAAAATGTATATACATTGAAATGCTTTTCTATTCTCTCAATCGTAACATACATTACATAAGTACATATATATATACAAAAACCAAGTAAACCAGAAATCTAATCTATGTAACTTAACCGACATTGAACCGGATGTATATACACATTCTAGTAACCCTAACAATTGAGCAATCTTACCCTTAATCAAACACGAAATCGATTTCAACAAATCCATTATGCCCAAATCGATTTCTTTGTTAACGATTTTGCGACGTAGGGCAAAACTGGATTTTCCTAAAGTTAATATCTACGTGTCTTTTTCTTTTTCTTCTTTTATAAATAACAACGTTGTCAGATCCCGAATGTGTATATACAAGTTAACATTTAAAAGTAGAGAGAACTATCTTAGGTTAATCCCGGTTTGGATTCAGATCCCGAATGTTTCGGTGAACCATTACACTACACAGGCTATTACATCTTTGGGGAACTCACTGGTCAGATTATAGAAGTGGTTTTTGACCCTAACAAAACTCAAATTAATGATTTTGTTAGGGTGAAAGTCAAGTTTGTTGTCTTCAGACCCCTCGATCGGTCGAAGGTGGTGAATTTTAAGGGTGGGCTAGCGACCATTTTATTTGATTTTGAGCGAATTCACTTGTCAAAGACTAACACATGAGCAAACAAAAATATGATATTGCGGTTTTGGTCGAGAAAATAAGATATTGCGGTTTTGCGGAAAAATATGGTTTTGTGGTTTTGGCGGGAAACATGATTTTCAATTTTGGCATGAAATATAATTTTTGCGGTTTTGACGGACAAATTACGGTTTTTTACAAGATAATTGTAAAGTATTATTTAAAATTTTGTACACAAACTTATTATTTAGATAATTAGGGTATATTTGTCATTTGCTATTTTGACTTAACCATCTCCATCCAAATAATTACGTTCAACCAAATGAGTTTGAAAATATTGCCTAAAATATAAAAATTCATTTTAATTGATTTGTCTTGATGATACTCATTTTTATACAAAAACGAACCGCAGTTCGCAGCTTCATTAAGAAAATCTATCTGAATGAGCAAAAGAACATAGCCATATACATAAAGTTTAAAATGAAATATAACACTCTTCAAATATACTAGGCCAATAGTTGTGCGTATTTTTTTATCCATAATTTATTAGTTATAATATTTTACATCGACTGAATTAATTTGATAAGTAAACTTTTTGGTGTTTTTTTCTAATAATCATTTTGATGTATTTATCTAACTCTTGAGTAAATAGTTCATTCTATTTTTAGTTTATTTATTTATTTATTTTTAATTAAATTGTTTAGCATTTGGGTTCAATGGATATCCGACCTGTCTACAAATTTTGGCCATAAAAAGTTTATTGGGTCCGGTTATATTTAACCCAACTCATACACCGGATATTTATATTTAATAATTTAGATATTTAGAAGATTTGATTAAGATTTATAATTATGATTCTCATATCATATTTGTTTGATTTGTTTTTAACTGTTTTAAACCATAATATAATACATGAAGTAAAAAAAAATCAATTTTTTTTATTGCATATATTGTGATTCGAAATTTTAAAAACGGTCATATATTATCCAATTGACGAAAAAATGTGTGTTCAACGTTCCACAACGACTAAAATATTTAGACAATGATTCAGAATCATATCATAAATAAGATCAATATTAATATAATAAATAGGTTTTTTGGCGGGAATGGTTTGACGAGACAGGTTTCTGAATCAACAATAATAAAAAAAATTAAAATATCATTAATCTACCGCTTCAATACGGATTAAATTCTTAATTTTTTTTTAATATCACCAATATTAGACATATCAAATCAGTCTCATTTAGAAAAAATTGTATAAAACCAAAAACTGTACCGTGGTATAATGTTAATTAATAACAATTGTAAACTATAAAATATAAATGTCTTAGAGAATGATACAATTTGCAAACTTTTATATATAATAAATAATCGTTAAAATTTTCAAATTACTACTTTTAGAAAACAAATCACGGGACGGGTTAAGAAATTACAGGACGGATTATATTTTGGAACCGGGTTATATTGTGGGCGAGTTTGAATCAATATTTATAAAATTTTAAAATATCATTGCCGCTTTAATACATACTAGATTATGTACCCGCGCGTTGCGCGGGATTTTAATATAAAACTTTTATCAATGCGAATTTTTGAGTATAAATATAATCATTTGATTTTTAAAAGTTCTCATGTGCATTATTTCCAAAATAGTAAAACATTTCTCACACTTTTCACTATAATTTCTCTCGCTATCTTCTATGATTTACTCGTCGTCTCTCGAAAGCTAGTCTTTATTCACCGTACATTGGCTCACATATAATATATTCGACTGTGAATTAGTTCTTAAGATAGATCATATGTATTTCCTCCTTGCTATATTTCAATACTCCATTCTTATTTGTAAGTTGCATGATCTTTGATATTAAAGTTAACATCAGAGTATCTAGGGAGATTTTATTCATATAGCTTTTTGACCATGTTTTGGTGTATTTAAAATTGTTTTATAGACAAAAAATATGATATATAGATTCATTCCTATTAACAAACATCGGATTCAAATGTAAAAAATTACATTTTATCTTGACCAGCTTAAAAATCTAAAATTTTCTTTTCACATATATTATTTGGCGTATATTATGATTCTATATTATGATTCTAGATAGTATTTTTAGTGTTGGTTTTTCTCAAATGTGTAACATACGAACTCATAAAAATTATTATAATTTAAAAATACGTTTATTATTATTTTTTTTAATCCTTCTTATTTATAACTAAAAACTCTTCCATTTCCAATTTCCAATTAAAAACTATTCTAATTTCCAAATAGCATTCTCAAATATTAATATTATTATTATTATTATTTTTTTTTGGGACAAAACATATTTCATTCATTCAAACCATAGCAAATACAAATGTTAAGTAAACATCAACCTCATCGTTGGATACAACAAAAATAGCAACTAATACTCTTAAAAGCGATTGGTAGATAACATAGATAGAGTAATTCGACGAAAGGTCCAAACATCGGAGACAAGAACAATATAGTAGCTTGCCACAAACGATAGAGTGCTGAGTTGAAGACAATTCCACGAGGATTTCGGGACATTGTTGAATGGTCACATTTCCATAAAGGGCTAGTGACGTTGATAAAAATTCCTTGACCTTGGGTGATATCGACTCAATGCACGTCGCTTCTAAAAAGAAGATTAGGAAACCAACATGGTTTCTCCGCAAAGAGGTCGAAGGTCTAGCAATAGTTCTCTCTATTGAAGAAGATGGTTGCAAAGGTTTATTAGAGGGATAGAAGGGTTCAGTGATTTGCTCTAAAACTCTAAACATATCTTCCATTAGGATTAAAGGATCCTTATCTCAAATATTATTATTATACAGTTTTATTATTCAATTAGATTATTTTATTTTTATTTGTGATTTTAGGATTGTTTTTTTGTTGTATTTCAAATCACGTTATTTTTTTCAATCTATGTTAATTTCCTAAACAATGATTAATATAAGTTTTTCTATTTTAGGTATTCATTTTTTTAAAAAAAAACCACCAATTTTTAATTTAGAAAACATTAATAAAATAGACAAATCTATTAATTGACCTATTTATATTATATTAGAGTTATAAATAATTATATGTTCAATCCTTCTCATTATTTAATCGGTATTGATACTTTAACATTAACAAATATATTCTCAAATTTTAAATGTGAATTCTTAGAAATTAATTACTTTTTATTTTAGTATATATCATGATATAGCAATATATTTCATAATATATCAATATATATCATGATATCTCAATATATAATATGATATATGTTAAAATATCATGATATATAAATATATATCATACATCGTAATATTCTATTAATATTGTTTACATATGACACATCACTATAGATATATCACTATATATCTTGATATATCACTATATTCTGATATAATATGATATTCACTATATATCATGATATAACAATATATGTCATGATATATCAATATATATATCATAACATATATCATGATATCTCAATATATAATATGATATATATTAAAATATCGTGCTATATAAATATATATCAAGGTTTATAAATATATCTCATGATATAACGATATCTGATATCTGTTATCATCTCTAACAGAAACTCAATAAATAACGAACGACACACATTCGTGACGTCTTGGTATCAAGACTTCGATGAGGTTCATGGTATGCATTTTGATCAGAAAAATCTAATCAATTTAATGAATTCAGAATATCATAATTCAGGATACAATCAATTTTAAGAAAATTAGAGAGAGTCATATGGAGTATTTCATAAAGTAAAGAAAAAGAAAATGAATAAAGAATTGAAGAGAGAGAAAGCGAAAGAAAGAAGAAGGAAGAAGAAAACAAATAAGAAGAAATGATGCGTTTGATTTGAGGGATATTATTGTCTTTTCCCCATGTTTTCAAAAGACCCATTATTTACGAACGTGCCACTGCTCCTTTGACTTAAATACTTTGTGGTCTTAGGGTATGCAGTATAATTACTCTTTATTTTAAGTAAAAACCTTTAAATTTGTTTTTTTCTAACTCTTATTTTTTTTATCCTACTAAATAATTGTTACTCTTAAAAATGATTGCTGTACCATTAAAATATATGATAAAAAAAAAATTTCCGATCTCTAATCATTTAAAATATTTATTAATTATATGTTAAGATATAATTATCGAATTTTATATTATCTCTCTATTTAAAATTTTCATATTTTGTGTTGTATTTTTTTCCACTTTGTTTTAAATTTTATTGTTTTTTGGTAAATTACTGTTTTTCTTTAGCAAAAGATAATAATATAAAGTGTGTGAATTAGTTTTAGTTTTAATATTTTTTGTAAGGTAATTTGTGTGAATTAATTTTAGTTTTAATGTTTTTAGTTTTAATAAATAAGATATGTGGAGCCCACAAAAATATAAAATTTTATGACATGGATGATGATGTGGATACTCTAAATGGAGAGAAGACTCTCTAATTATATATATAGATTAAATCTTCAGTTTATTAAAATATAAATGTCTTACAGAATGATACAATTTGTAAACTTTTATATATAATAAATAATTATTAAATTTTAAAATCACTATTTTTAGAAAATAAATCACGGGACGGGTTAAGAAATTACGGGACGGGTTATATTTCGGAACATGTTTATATGGCAGACGGATTTGAATCAATATTAATAAAATTTTAAAATATCTTTAACATGCCGCTTCAATACGGGTTAAATCCTTAGTTTATTAACAAATTGTCCCGTGGACTCGTAGTATACTGTTATTTAATAACAACTGTAAACTATATAATAGAAATATTTTATAAAGAGATATAATTTGCAAAATTTTATATATACTAACTTTAAAAAATAAATTATCCCGCGGTGTACCGCGGGTTAAAATCTAATTCTATTGTATAGCTCTGGCTTAAAGTCATTTACATTAACCTATTAGAAATAGGCCACAGTTGAGCTTTTCTTTTTTTTGATGAGGTGGGGGACAAAGTCCCCAACAATTTATTAAGAAAAAATCAAAAACATTACACTCAAACCATACTTGGGTGCGCAAACCCAATAGCATCCTCTAAAACAATGGAATTCACTAACTCCAGCTTAGATTCCAACAAATGAAACTCCACTGATAACGAAAACGCATAATTTGCTAATTCGTCGACTAGACGGGCAGCTTCCTAGACATGTGAGAAATGTGGACTATCCAGTCGCGTGACAAAAAGCCATAGCACAAACGTATTAGGAAAGACAACGGATGAGACTCACTAATCCCTGTCTTGTGAAAACCCACCACTATTTCTGAATCAACTTCCAACTCCAGTCTTGTAACTCGCTTCTCCCAAGCTATATATATGCCATAGTACACACCCCATAACTTCGCTAAAGGTACCAAACATATACCTATATTCAAGGCGAAGCCTCCACACCAATTCCTGTCTCTATCCTGCAAAACTCCACCCGCCGTAGCTAATCCAGGATTTCCATGAGAGGCTCTGTCCGTGTTGAGCTTAGTCCACCCTTCTCCTAGAGGTATCTATCGTATCATCCTCTCGTCCCTCACCGCTCGGTTGCGCAAGGAGCATCTCCTTAGTACGGTCTTTAAGGAATCGAACCCTATCACCGCATTTTCCATTAGTCCCAAAAATATTACCGCAGCGCCACTTCCATCCTCACCATACTCCCATGGCAAACATCGTCGACCACAGGCTTCCATCTGTATTTGCATCATCCCTCAAGTTTCTATAGAGCCACTCGAGTATAGTTTGCGCAAAAATAACTGCATCTTCCCTGTAGCTACTGTTCTACGCCATATACCCATCACAGCTTGAAAATCACAGAGAACATGCATAATTTTCTCCTCACCACTCTTAGAGCAGCATTAATGGGGGATCCAAGTAGGTGTCTAAGGTCCAATGGGTCCAAAAATTTAATCCAAAACGATTAAAAACAATGGATCCGGTTCTATTTTTGGACTTTTTGGACAGCTTTGGATCTCTTACGTGTCGCGATTTGGTTGGTCAGGACTTTTGTATTACAGAAAAAAAAAAAAAATTCCCGTGCTTTCCATCTACGATTCTCTCTTCTATCTCTCTCTTTCTCGCAAAACACAGCATGCGAAACCGACGAGATTTCTCAGAAATTGAAAGCAAACGGAGAAGAAATCGTTATCTCCGACTACTCGATCCATCCTGATCATCATCTCCACCGACGCGGGACACTCCCTGAAGCAATCCACGAGTTTCCCTGAAGCAATCCGCGAGTTTCCCTGAAGCAATCCGTGACTTTCCTTCACCAAATCGGCGTGAAACCTTCACAAACTCTTTCTCATGGTACGAACGTCTTTCTCTTGCTATAAATTCTTGTGAATTTGATTAGGGTTCTGTGATTTTAGGTAAATTAGGGTTCTTGGTTGTTAGTTAAATTAGGGTTATTTGAAGACGATTAGATCATGATTGTCACTTAAGTGCCATTAGTCATTAACACTTGATGCACTGTCAATCAAAGAAAGACACAGACCCTCTTAGGCGCCACCACCCGCCATATACAAGAAAGAGACTCCCCACGTTCTGCCTTGGAGAATCATTCCGAGTGAGAAATGAGTAAGCTGATTTGACTGTAAAACATATTTTGTAGAAATATGCTACAGTTGAGTTGGATATGTTTTTTGATATTATTTTACTTTCTTTTTCACTTAAAAGTTACATAGTAATTATGAATGTAATTGTGAAACTCCCTAAATTATGTAGTTGTCCCAGGATTAATCAATGGTTTTACATAAAGTCTTGAGTATGAGTTCCAAACAACACGAATTATTGCATATTAATAGAGGCAAACCTATCGGACGTTCGTTCGTTGTTGTGCAATGTGGTGTTTATGTACAACTATTCCGATGAAGTTTGGTTCCTAACCAAACTGTTTATAAGTTTGGTACTTTTTGGTTCGGTTTGGTATAGTCTAGTAAAGATTGCTTGCCTTAATAGGAATTATAGAAAACCTGGTATCATTTAATAAAGTCGAGGTAAAAAATGGTCGGAGAAGAGAAAAGCAGGTCGAATTTGTAACTTTGATACACAGACAGCTCACTGGGAATCTCTCAGTGTTTTCTTTCCCATTTCCCTTCACGCCTACTACTTTCACTTCTTTCTCTTCTTTCCATCACCTGTCTCGATTTGCTTCCTCCTCTTGACCCGCTTAGTCGCTGACCAGACTGCCCTTCAAAACCAGAGCCCATCTCCAGCTCCCCGACACTTCCTGTATCTCCCGAGTCTCTGCTTCCTTCAAGTGTTTCGTCATACTCTTCTAAGCGGTCACGTGATTGTAGGATCGTTGGAGGCTGGCCAGAGAATGACCTTGACCCAGACAGAACCATTGTTGGTGTATTCACAGTTTCTTGCCCTCTCGTGCTTCCTTCACTTCCAGACCGTCCATTATCTCTTTCTCGAAATCTTTCCCTAGGTCTACTGTAGGGGAGGGGAAACAAATTAGCGTTTGTTGAGTTCAGTGCACAAGTGACTCAAGTCACGGGTTTAAGAAGTAACGCAGTCTCTAGGTATGGTAGGTATGGCCATCAAATGTGTTAAGAACATAAATTAAACTGAAAGGGAAAGATCAGTCAAATACCCAAATTTCATTGAACCCCAAAACTTTCTACAATGTATTATTGAACTGTGAAGGTAATCATGTGTTGGCTAACATAATTGCAAGAAGCATCGCTAAGCAACTCCAGTGGAATTCTAACACTAACACATACAGAGCAACCTCAACATTTTACCAAACACACCATAATTAACTGTAGCTAACCATCACAAAACAGTTGTTTTTCAATTCCATCTGTAGAGTGACCCCTACATTTTAAGCTTCCTCACTAGAATTAGAATATGTGGCTAACCCACTGGTTTTTTAAAATATAAATTTTGGCAGAATATATATATTTTTATCTCAGTTTCTCAAGCCCATATAGAGCATACGACAGTCCAGCCAAATGCTCAAATTTTTCATGGTCATTCATTGAATAAAAACTGAAATTTTTGTTAACATACAAACATGAAGAACATGCATGAGAAATGGAAGAAGTTAGAGAAGCTTACCCACTGTGGGAAGCAGACGAGTCTCGCCGTGATGATCTTAATCCTGACTCTGCCTGCTCCAATTCACGTTGAAGCTCTCTCTGGATATAAAGCAGAGCATTATATTACAAGCTAAACCAATGTGACTGGTATTTTGACTCATCTAAAGCATAAAATGAGCATGTTTTCTAGAAACCGGGAACCATAGAAACATTTTCAGTGTAATTCTATTCTGATTTTATAATTTGTGCATCTACGTATGGTATAGAAGCTGGGTGATGAAAAAAAACAATTCAATAATACATAATGCGATCATGCATAGGACACGGTGGAAGCGAAATAGAGATTCTTGCCTGCATTTGCATCTCCTTTTCCATCTCCAGTTGGTGTCGCAGATCCCTTGTTTTGGCTCTTTCGAGTTCTAGAGCCAGTTGTCTCTCTATCTCCTTTTCTGCTTCAGCTGCCCTCTCCCTAATTAATAATGGCCAAAGATCAATTATCGTTACTAGCCAAAAAGATATAAAATCAGTTTATCATATAGCTACAATAAGAACAAGAACAAACCTGTCCAATTCTTGAAGGAGTTCAGCTTCTCGTAAAGCTGTTTCTTCTAGATACTTCTGTCGGTCACGCCACATAAGAATTTTCTTTTGCCTGCGGGCAACTAAGTCTTCTCGAAGTTTTGCCTTTTCCCTGATAATATACAGAATTAACAAGATGATGAGCATATAAAACTTGTATCCACAAGAACACTCATCAATGCATACACAACAAATTTTGGAGCCTCAGCTCACAAAATTTGAGCTATTCTACTGCCGCATGCTCCTACATGCTGGCAATGACCAGAATAATTAAAAGATCTCACTAGCAGTAATTTGCTTAATAATTTTTCTTATATCCTTGCAGTATGATACGAATACTTCCTAATTTATGATTTAGGAAATAGTTTAGGATTTCCAATTTCTTATTTACTTTTCCTAGAGTCTTTTACTTTACCTTCTATTATAAATAAGGGTTAGGTTTTGTTTGTGAAACCTATCCAAGCAATTGAGAGCTTTGGAGGATTCTATCGGGTTAGGCCGAAGGAAGAGAACGTAGTTCTCTTTGGGGAGTTTATACTCTTGTTACGTTATTGTTCTATCTTTCTATTATCATAATAAAGGTTTTGGTTTGAATTGGATTCTATCTCTAACACAGTAGCTCCTTTTAGAGCTTTAAATCAACAGAGCGTGGAGAAATAGGAATTCATGCTACAAATCTCTGGAGCTTACTAAAAGCTTAATCTATTTAGAATTTTAGTGAGACATACAGTGCATATATGTCGTCCTTGATCTGCTGAAGGCGATTATCATGCTTTCTCGAGGCTGAGAAACAGAATTTTGCATCAATTAGATATCTGTTTAGAACTGGTTACTGTATGATGGACATGAAAAGAGAGAAGCTATTACATGTAACGTGAGGAAGTTGATGGTTTTCTTTGGAACCCAATATATCTGGTACATTATGCTCTTTCTTTACGATATCCAATTCTATCTCAGCCTCCTCTAGTTCCTAATGTTTCGAAAACAAAATATCAAATCAGTGAATACAGTCATCAAAAGAGTATTAAAGGAGACATTCATACTCACAATAGTCTCCTCATCAACTTTCTTTGCAAGAAGCTCAAAGTATGACTCAACAGAAGATAGACTAGAGAGCACCTGTCATATCAAATATAAAACTTAGAAACACATTAGTATGCCTATAGCAAATTTGAGATCATGGTGAACTTATTAAGAAGAAAAGGTCGAAGAATAGACCCATAACATATTTAAGAAATCTAATACCAAGACCCCAACTCTTTCTTTGACCTGTGCTATGGCGCCTGTGGTATTTATCCCTTATATATCATACTAAATACTAAAATGAAAAGCAGATATATGTGATTTGTAAATGCTGTACAACCAAAATTTGTAACAGTACGAAAGAATATCCTACTACAAAGAACATCAGAGGATTATTGCCAAATGCTAGTTGAGCAGATAATCATTACGCATTCGTTAATTACAATATATCTTTACATATTTGTTAGTTAACTACAAGATCTTACTTGAACAGAAGGATCATGCGACTCCATGGAAACATTATACTATACCCTTTTACATGAAGAAGTCCTAAAAACTGATTTTTCAGCTTCAGATATTCACAAAGATACTTTCTAAGCTAAACTGATCATAACCACTTAAACGAAACACGAAGGCTAAATGAGCGAGCTATTTAGATAACATTACAGATTGTACATGCAGACTATTAATACCATTATATACCTCAAGAATTGATTGACGTGTAGACCTAAAGTCCAGATTGTCTTCCACTTCAAAACTAGAAGAAACCACCTCTCTGAGAACCTATGGCACAAAAAAACCAAAAACAGTTTGCTTGACGGAGCAGGTTCTGCAAGAAAAGTTATTTACAGAAATTGGTCCACGCCTATGTTTATTCTTCACAAACATGAACTCATACCTCTCTTGCTTCATCTTCTCCATTTCTAAATCTGCACAATAGTTGGCAAGCTTTTGTTTCAACTAGCTCCAATCTGCCATCTGCTCAAGAACCAGAAAAGAAAAGTAAACCTTTTAAAGAAAATTCCCATTAGGAACGCAGCACGGTGAGAATGAAAAGGTTGACTTACCGATTCTTGAGGAACCAAGAATCTCGATGCTTGTCCAAACACTTTGATGAATCAGCGCCAAATCTTCACTTGAACAATAAAGACAACAGCTAGCAATAATTGCTAGTGAGAGCCTCAGCAGTGGTCCTTCCCCCAATGATCCCCCAGCCTTTCCAAAACAATGGAGGACACTATCAGATGCACACAGAAATTTTTGCAGTAGTTTTCGGCTAGCATAAGGGATAAAATCTACTAGGAGTGCCATAGCACAAGTCCGTATTGAGATTGATGTATCTGACGATGCCCTAAAAACAACAGAATCCCATGTACTCCCAACCAAGAGTGACAATGTTGGCTGTGGTACAGAACTAACAATTCCGAGAGGTTTATGGCAGAGTATCGAGGACTTTACAGCTACTTCATCATCCATATCTTTTCCGAGCAGCTTACATAAATGCCGGAGGCCTATCAGTCGCTGCTCAGGTTCAGCATGATCCAACATGGCACAAAACAAATCAGCTAAAGGTGAAACATCACTCTCACAGAGTCCATGGCCGACCCTTTCAAACAACAATGACAGCCACTCATCAGATTGGACACGCAATAAAAGCCTGGGAGCAGAAGATACATTCTTTCTAATGGCAGAGCATATATAATTAGTGACGTTGTCAAGCTGGAAACATGGAGGAGACCCAAGCAAGCAGTCAAGGATAGTCGATGAAACTTCCCAGCAGTGGTTATCTTGCAGAATAAGAATCCTTTCAGCAAGTCCTTCCAGACTTTTTTTACAATGGCCCAAACACCTGTCGGAATCAAGGTTTTCATTATTGTCCTCTTCACAATTCTGAGATATAGCAGAAGCTGAAGCCAAGCACCTCAAGTACACAAAGCATTCTGCTGAGATATTAGTTAGCTTCTTAGACAGTTGACAGTGAAGACTCCAACATTTTTCAATAGTCACTTGGAGACAGACAATTAAATCCTCCAAGTCCTTGGTAAACCCTTCGACCTCACTTGAAAGTAGTTTAACGTTTTGGGTTGAAAGAAAAGCATCATCTTTGCTGATATATTGACTACCGGAAAC